CGAGCTATACATTGGCCCCTTTCAGCCATGGCTGGAGCGGCTGGGACACAGGGCACCAAGTCCCTAGGCTGCACACAGCTCAGGGATCCTGGGCCAGACCCATGAAACCACTTTTTCCTCTCAGACCTCTGGGTCTGTGATGGGAGGGGCTGCCATGAGGACCTCTGACATGTCCTGGAGACATTTTCCCATTGTCTTGGGGATTAACATTTGACTCCTCATTACGTATGCAAATTTCTGTAGCCAGCTTGAATTTCTCCTCAGAAAATGGGATTTCTCTTTTCTATTGCATTGTCAGGCTGCAAATTTTTCAAACTTATATGCCGTTTCCCTTTTAAAACTGAATGCCTTTAACAGCACCGAGTCACCTCTTAAACATTTTGCTGCTTAGAAATTTCTTCCACTAGATAACCTAAAACATCTCTCTCAAGTTCAAAGTTCCACAAATCTCTAGGGCAGGGGCAAAATGCCATCAGTCTCTTTCCTAAAACATAACAAAAGTCACCTTTGCTCCAGTTCCTAACAAGTCCCTCATCTCTATCTGAGACCACCTCAGCCTGGACCTTATTGTCCATATCGCTATCAGCATTTTGGGCAAAGCCATTCAACAAGTCTCTAAGAACTTCCAAACTTTCCCACATTTCCCTGTCCTCTGAGCCCTCCAAACTGTTCCAGCTTCTGCCTGTTACCCAGTTCCAAAGTCGCTTCCACATTTTTGGGTATCTTCTCAGCAGTACCACACTCTACTGGTACTGATTTACTGTATTAGTCTGTTTTTGTGCTGCTGATAAAGACATACCCGAGACTGGGCAATTTACAAAAGAAAGAGGCTTAACTAGACTACAGTTCCATGTGGCTGGGGAAGCCTCACAATCACGGTGGAAGGCAAGGAGGGGCAAGTCCCGTCTTACATGGATGGCAGCAGGCAAAGAGAGAATGAGGAAGACACAAAAGCAGAAACCCCTGATAAAACCATCAGATCTCATGAGACTTATTCACTACCACCAGAACAGTATGGGGGAAACTGCCCCCATGATTTAATTATCTCCCACTGGGTCCCTCCCACAACACGTGGGAATTACGGGAGCACAATTCTAGATGAGATTTGGGTGGGGACACAGCCAAACCATATCAACCAATGAGTGAAAAAAGAAAAAGTGGTATATAGACACCATGAAATACTACTACTCAGCCATAAAAAAGAACAAAAGAATGTCTTTTACAGCAGCTTGGGTGGAGCTGGAGGTCATTATTTTAAGTGAAGTAACTCAGAAATGAAAAACCTAATACCCTATGTTCTTACTTATACGTGAGAGCTAAGCATGAGTACACAAAGGCATACAGAGTGGCATGATTGACTTTGGAGACTCATAAGGGGGAGGGTGGGAGGTGGGTGAGGAATAAAAAAACGACATATTAGGTACAATGTATAGACTCAGGTGGCAGGTGCACTAAAACCTTAGACTTCACTACTATACAATTCATTCATGTGACCAAAAGCCACTTGTACCTCAAAAGCTATTGAGATAAAAAAAATTAAATAACATAAAAGATTAAAAAGGGTGCACCTGTATAGGGTCCTTGCCATGAATGGAGCTTGCAGGACTGGAAGTTGCTCCGAGCAAGTCACTGAGCAAGAGATGAGTGAATATGAAGGTCAAGGGCATGACCATAACTGCTATAGATGTTATAAACACTGGACACTTAGGCTACACCAAATTTATTTTCAAATATTTTTATTTCCTCAGTAATAAATTAACATTAGTTTACTGTAACTTTTTTACTTTATAAACTGTTTTTTTTTTTTTTTGGAGACAGAGTCTTACTCTGTCAGCCAGGCTGGAGTGCAGTGATGCAATTTTGGCTCACTGCAACCTCTGCCTCCCAGGTTCAAGTGATTCTACTGACTCATCCTCCCGGGTAGATGGGATTACAGGTGCACACCACCACACCTGGATAATTATTATATTTTTAGTAGAGAGGGGTTTCATCATGTTGCCCAGGCTGGTCTCAAACTCCTGACCTCAGGTGATCCGCCTACCTCTGCCTCCCAAAGCTAGTATCACTTAGCCTAAAACACAAATGCATTGTACAGCTGTACAAAAATATTTTATTTCTTTATATTCTTCTTCAACATGCTTTTTTCTATTTTGAACTTTTTTTACTTTTTAAACGTTTTTGTTAAAAACTAAGACATAAACACACACATTAGCCTAGGCCTGCATGGAGTCAGGATCATCAACATCACTGTCTTCCCCTCCACATCTTGTCCCACTGGAAGGTCTTCAGGGGCAGTGACAGGCATGGAG